AATTTTGAAAGGCACGACGGCCATTGGCCGCGGTGCCGCGGCTTATGTCTAGCCCTGCCCTTTTGTGCATGACCAATAAAGATCTTGAATGTTGTGTTATTTGTATGTTTTAATTAACAATAGCTTATTTTCTACAGTAAAATAAACGAAGTAATCTCCAGACTCCCCACTATTTTATCTGGAGGATAATGGCATTTCAAAAATCCAAGCTTTCTTAAATGTACACTCCTACTTCACGTCCATCCTACTTATACTCCATGTGCTGCCAGAACCGCATATTATAGCAAATAAATGAGTTAAGTCGTTCAGATTTCCTGGCATTCACATTGCTGACGGTTTCTCCTGGTCCACGAACACCTCAGCAGTTATCAAAAAAGTCCAGAAGCACATGCATTTCTTGAGGATACTCAGGAGGCATAATCCTTTTACAGAACCACCATGGAGAGCGTCCTAACTTACGGCATTGCAGCCTGGTATACTGGGTGCTCAGTAGCAGACAAAAAGGACCTCCGGAGGATCAGACTGCAGAAAACATTACTGGGTGTCCGCACCCCTCCCTCACTGATATTGCGAACAGTCACATTCTCTCCAGAGCCTACAACATCATCGCAGACTGCTCCCACCCATTACCGTACTCTTTGAGCTATTACCTTCTGGCAGACGTAATCGTGCCATCAAATCCAGACCTAGCAGATTCATAAATAGTTTTTGTTTCCCATATGCAGTTACCTACCTTAACAAACAGAGATAAAGTCTCAAGAACATCTCTTTCTAAATAGCACTTTATTTCAGCACTTTATCCTGCATTTTGCCTGCACTTTGAAATGTAATCCTCGTAGCCATTTTTATAGCATGAGTTGTTTGTGAACTTTTAAGGATGTATTTATTTGTTTATGTTTTATTATGCACTATTTTCGAGTTGCATCTTGTTGCATTCCCCGTACTATCAAGTATAATGACGATAAAGGCATTCTATTCTATTCTATTCTATTCTATTCTATTCTATTCTATTCTATTCTATTCTATTCTATTCTATTCTATTCTAAACAATAATAAACAATGAACTAAAAGAAGTATTAGTCATTATACTTGTAGCTCCAGTGGCGCAATTGGTTAGCGCGTGGTACTTATATGGCAGTATCCAGCTGAGCAATGCTGAGGTTGTGAGTTCAAGCCTCACCTGGAGCATGTGATTTTGTATAATGTGATGGTTTCAAGAGTGCAGCCCTATTGTATACATGTCTGCTGTCACCAGACACCTACAAGCAGGTGCACTTCATCCTATATCCAGCAACAGTGGCTGCCTAGGACACCAAGTTCTGATGGGGCTCCGATTCACCAGTCAATTTCAAGTTCGCCTCAGAGAGGGGGTACCGGTGGCGATGCTCACTTAGGGTGTTACATCAGCTAGGACTGGTACTGCCTACAAGACCGCACCGGTTTGGGTCTCCACTTATACACCTTAAGTC